GGGAGTTCATAACTCATTTGAATCAAACTGTGAAATATGATGTATGAGGAACTATGTAATGTTTTGAACGACCAACAATAAAAAAAAAAAAGACTTCAATGAGGCTTTAATTGCCATCAATTTAAACTGATAAATTAATCTAGGGGAGAATTGATGCTTTAAAAACACTAAGTGTTTTTTTGTCAAGGAATGTGATAGCTCTCTTCTTTTATCGAAGTCTTTTCTTTTGTCTTTCCGCAAAATTTTCCATTTTGCTTGAGACGTATTGTGTGTCCTTGTTAAGATCATCCATAAAAATTTAATTAGAAATTTTCGATAATGGAGACCATCAGCTTGCAGGATGGGAACTCCCACCCTGTTCTTTGTTTTATTGGTAACACTTCTGTGTCTGATGAATATGGCGTGCGCCAACTTCGCCCAGCGAATATAGTTTTTTAAACTATGGCTCTTTTAATACTTTCATTTCTCCTTTGACTTTATGAGTTTCTTCCACCTTAAACAAGGCATCGATTCGATCACAAAGAGTGCCCTCACTGTCATTAACATCTACTCCCTCTTATTTGGCATGCCGGCTGGAAAACCAGAAATGAGGAAAGCTCCCCCCCACCCCACCGACTGTTTCCCATATCAACCTGCTATCCCAAGCTCAAATTATAAATAATAAAAACATCAAATACATATACTTTGTTGAATTCTTGTGTGTTATACATTTTCAATCCATTATTTTATTTCATTCTCCTACCAACCTTAGTGGTTTGGTATGAAGACTCTTATTTCATAGATAAGAAAACTAAGGCACAAAACGGTGGAGTAACTCATGTGAAGCCTCAGGATAGGTCACGTGACTCAGCCCTGGAGCTTGAAGCTAAATCCAGCTCGACCACTCTCTAAAGCTGGTTAATTCCATGGTGCTTGTGGACACATGGCCCCTCTTACTTCCTCAACCTTCTGATTCCTTTTGCTTCCAACTCTGTCATGGGTTGAATATGTCTCCTCCAAACCCGCAGACTGATGGAGCTCTCATGGATGGGCTTGGGAACCCTCGAAAGAGCTTAAGGTTGAAGGGAGAGCTCTCTTTCTCTCCTGCCTTGCCACTTTCTATACCTTGACCTCAGGCCTCCCAAATTCCAGAACCATGAGAAAATGAATCTCTATTCTTTATAAATCACCCAGTCTCAGGGATTCTGTTATAGTAGCACAAATGGACGAAGGTGAACTCCTTTGACTTTTGCTGACCTGAAGATCTGCAGCTCATGGGCCTCTCTGGGACTCCATGAAGAGACCATGTGGCTGAGTGGTTAAGGACAGACTCTGGATCCAGAGTTCTGGGCTCCTCCCCTGGCCTGTGACTTACTAGCTGTGCCATCTTGGACAAGTCCTTCTCTGGGAACGTCTCCTAGAGATCTTTTGGAGATCAGACAAATTAACCTGTGTAAGGCACTTAGAACTGGCCACACAAGAGCTGGATAGGGAGAGTGCAGAGCCCACCTGTCCAGCTTCGTGGGGGAAAGAGAGGCAGGGGGGGCGGAGCCACAGCCCACGGCTCCCGAGGGCCAACTTACCGATATTCTTCTGGATCTCCATGACAAAGTGGTTCTGTGGGTCCTGGCAGCTAAAGGTAAAGACCATTTTCTCTCCAGCTTTGATGAACAACCCAGTCATATGCCTTTTAGAAACAATGATGAAGCAGGCCTTCGCTGGCGGAGCTGATGTCCCCCGCTTTATGAGAATGGTAATGTTGCTTCCTTGGGGCAGAGCAATCTCAGAAGCCTCTGGAGGGAGGAAGAAAGATGCAGTGAGCGGATGTTTAGGTCTGCACACCTGCCCACCTGTCAGCTGGCTCAGGGAGGATGCTCTCTCTCACACCTCGTGCCTTCCCTCCTGGTCTGATGGTGCAAAACGACAACGCTGACATTGCTGGCACCAAAGAACCAGGGCACTGCTGGCCGGGCACGAGCATCTGTTTGTCTCTTCTTTGGATTATTGATTTTGCTACAAGTTAAAAATCATGTCCCAGATATCTTGAGCAATTTGTTTTCAGACACCCGACTTACAGTATTAAATAACGACCAGAGTCACTTTCACTTGTCTTTTTATTGGCAGGGAGGAGAACCGGGGATTGAACTCAGGGGCACTCGACCACTGAGCCACATCCCCATCCCTATTTTGTATTTTATTTAGAGACAGGGTCTCACTGAGTTGCTTAGCACCTCACTGCTGAGGCTGGCTTTGAACTTGTAATCCTCCTGCCTCAACCTCCCAAACTCCTGGGATTACAGGTGTTCACCACCATGCCCGGCTCCACTTATCGTCTTGATATGACTGTAGAAGAAACCATCTGTCAACATTTTGTATCTGGGATGCTTCCCAACAGCTCACGTGTGGAAGGTTTGGTCAGAGGTGGAGCCTTCAAAAGTGCTCTGATCTCATGCATAAATTAATTCATTGGTAGCTTAAGTGGCTATCAGGAGGTGGGCTTAGTTGGAGGAGGAAGAAGGTCACTGGGGCTGTGCCCTTGAAGGCTACATTTGTGCCCAGCCCCTTCCTCTCGTCTTGCTTCCTGGCTGTCATGTGCTTCTGTTAGGATGTAAGGCTTCACTGCATGCCCAGAAGCTATGAAGCCAAGTGATTATTGACTGAAGCCTCTAAAACCCCAAGCCAAAGTAAGTCTTTCCTCCTTCAAGTCCATTTTCTCTGGCATTCTGTCCCAGTGACAGAAAGCTGACTAATACCCCAGTGAAGAGGCACGTTTATCTGCAAAGAGCCACTGTCTCCTGCTGTAGCACTTGGCATGTCCAGAACATACATATGTATAGGAGTAGGTTGGGGGTAGGAAGATGTTTGCAGAAATTAGAAGTAAACATACTTCTGATGTTTACTCATTGATACTACTGTATCAATGAGCTTGGAAAGTTAAAAAAAAAAAAAAAAACTATTACCTCAGATTGGGATTCAGCAAAAACACTTGAGCAAATAATACTAAGCCAGTGAGGTGGGGACTGATTACTAAGCAGAGGAGTGCCCGTGTCATCATGGGCCCAGTCTCTATCCTATTTGATTGCTTGATTAATGTTTAAACGCTCTAGATCAAAGGGGAAGAGCCCTTCTTAGCAGCCCCTGCCTTGGTCTTGATTGTAGGGTTCTGATTGTAGACAAGCTGGTCTGGGAGCCGAGGGGGGTGGGATAGATGGCTGTAGGTGGGTCCTGTGGAGGGAACCCAGGGCCCATACAGACTGATGGAACCACAGCACTAACACGGGGGCTTCTGTCTCACCCTGTTCTGGCATAAAGACACGGTCAATCAGTACCAGTTATGGAGCCTGTACACATAAGGTGCTCCATAAGAGGTCAGTGGGTAGACTGCAGTCTACCAAGAGCTTTTCATTTCACAGCTATGCTTCCCCCACCCCCCCCCCGTTTCTTTTAAAATCAACATTTTTGAGGCATAATTTACATATGTTTAAAAGGACTCCCTGATTGTAAGAATCATGACCAATGTCACAATGAGGGGACTGTTCTGGGTCTTAACTATGGTGGCGACTACCTGCTGTATATAAATGCCCAAATCCATCACAATGCACACGGGGAGTGGTGGTGTTCATTTTATATATTATTTTAATAGAAATGAGGAGAAGTGTTCAAAAGAGTGTTTGCCTACACAAAGAAGGCATTTAATAAACTAATAGTGGAATAATTATTGATATACCTAAATATGGTTTAATAATATTTTGGGTGGTGATGGACTGCCAATGTGGCTCAGGGGTAGAGCACTTGCCTTCCATGCACAAGGCCTTAAGTTCAAACCCCAGTACCACACACAAAAATAATAATATTTTGGGTGGGCCTAGCTGCTCTCAAAGTACATGCAATATTTTCAAATCTTTTAAAATTAGATTCAGAGGAGACCAAAGCTAAGCTTACCAAAATATCTCCACTCATTTTTTTTTCCTGTTTTCAGCTAGGTAAATAGCCGAAATAATTCTGGGTATGTGGTAGTCCATTGTAGTATTAATGATGACCAAGGGAAAAGGTCTAATCTCTTCAATAAATTCATTTTAAAAGAATCTTTGAAATCTTTTATTTAATCAACAAACATTTTTTAGGTTCATAATGTATTCTAGGGACCATACTTAGTATATAACGATTTAATGACAAAAAGAGCCAGAGTTTGCTCTCAGAAAGTTCACAGTGTAATTTATCAATTTTAAAAATGACAAAGTTCCTGCCAGGCACAGTGGCTCAGGAAGCTGAGACAGGAGGATTGTGAGTTCAAACTCAGCCTCAGCAAAAGCGAGGCTCTAAGCAATTCAGTGGGACCCTCTAAATAAAAAATAGAACTGGGGATGTGGCTCAGTGGTCGAGGGCCCCTGAGTTCAATCCCTGGTACAAAAAAAAAAAAAAAGAAAAAATTTTCAGACCTGGCTGGCCTCGAATGAAACCTGGTAATCTGCATTGAAAACATCTCTTTTGGTGGAGGATGAGAGGTAGGAATTTACTTTTATTATTATTTTTTCCATATGGAGAGCCAACTGTCCTAACTCTAATTACTGAACACATCAGTGTCTTTCCTTCATGAGTTACTAGTGCTGCCTTAGTTATTTGTATGTTTCATTGTGGGGTCTAAAGAATCCAGATTTTCATGCAAATTCATTTTGCAAACAAGAATGATGAAACCTTTACAAGGACTCACTCTTGGAGCTCTTGCAGCATATCCACCATGTTTCCCTATGCTGACCTGGATGTGAACAACCCAGCAAGTTCTACTCTGTCCTCCAGGGACCCAGGCCAGAGAACCTGGGCTTGAGTGATCCATCTGGCATACAGAGGGGACACTAAGCTAAAGACTGCATAGCAGAGTCTCAGCACCTCTGCAGCAGGAGGGATGGTGTGTATGACAGGCTGTAGGGTTACAGTCCAGGACGCATCACCCACGCGGCTGCCATTTGTAACTGCCCCTCATCCAAATGATGAAGAAGTGAGCTGGGGTCGGGGGATTGGGAGTTAGAAGATGATTCCACCCTACACACTCTTGAGATGGGGACTCTTGCTGCCCATCAACTCCACCTCTGTTTATTTTACTTTAATCAAAGAAACAGAGACCCCACGGCATAGGTAAAATAAGTTCATTTGATCACAGATGTTTGGAGTTTCAGCACACCGTGCTTGCTCATCCCCCTGTTCCTCGATCACCACCACTCTTACACCTTGACCCTGCAAACCCCAGCGCCGTGGAATAAAATCTTAGCCTCCCTCCCTCCTCCCCCATGGGGTCTGGCACTTCTGAGCACTTGACAAATGGCCTGTGGTTTAAAGGAAATGGGTGAGAGTTTTCTTCTATATCTCTCTCTTTCCCCTCCCTGAGAACATTGTATTTCATTGGTCTGATATTTCAGATCTGTGCTTCAGTTCAGAGAAACTCAGACAGTGTTCCAGGTTCTGGTGTGATTGCAAGATCCTCCGGACTAAAAGAAATCAAGGTCGCCTTCTCAGTGGCCGCTCCTAAACTCCCAGGCTTGGGGCATTCAGGAAGGTGTGTGGGGCACCAGGCTGGGCCCCTGAGTCAAGGTTCTCTCTTCAGCGCCCCACCTCCACCTCCTTATTAGGATACCTCTGCTAGTTCCCTCCCACCAGCGACTTCTCAGGTGGGAATGTCCAATGGCTTTAATCACCATTCATTCTTCACCCTGTCACAAGACAGTCTACAAACACTCCTTGCTATTTCTCCCTCCTCTCTATCTTTGCTATAGTAAGGGAAACAGGAAACAAATGCAAAAAAAAAAAAAAAAAAAAAGAAAGAAAGAAAAGGAGATTCTACCAGATAAATACCAGGGGAGTCATTTCTCCCAGTTTAAAAGACTGACAGATATCACTGAAACAGTTTTAGATGTCAGAATCAATGTGTCTCTATTCTGGGTGTGGTTTTTGGTGGGGTTCTGTTCTCATTCATTTTCTCTGTCCAACGACAGTGAACTGAGCAGCTCCTTTACAATGAACTGTAAAGGTTTCACTGTCCTTGTTTGCAAAATGAGTTTGCATGGAAATCTGGATTTTGTAGACCCTAAAATGAAACAAACAACTAAGGCAGCACTAGTAACTCATGAAGGAAAGATACTGATATGTTCAATAATTAGAGTTGGGACAGTTGGCTCTCCATATGGAAAAATAATAATAATAAATGTCTAACCAGGGTCTGGCTAAGCTTGGGCACCCGGGAGACATGTTAATGGCACAGTGCTCTGGGGGAGTACCCAGGAGGCTGAGGGAGACAGACTCAGAAACCAAGGAGTTTAGGTGTGAATCAGTGTGGCTGATCAGTCACAGCTGGTGTGGGAGTCAGATCCTAAAGCAAGCACGTAAGAAGAAAACCACCGATGGCCAAAACAGCCCTGTGGCCTCTTAGGAAGATGTCATGTTGTAGACCAGCCTCCTCACACTCCAGGCGTACGTACAGAGAGAGCATCTCCTGCTTCCACGCAGCAGACAGATCCCCGTTTCTCAGGCTGTGCACCAGATTAACAGCGATTTGCTTTGAGGGGCTGGTTTGCAAAATATAGTTCATTGATTGTGGATGCTCATTCAGAGCGTGGGATGCTCATACCAGGAACAGCCCGAGGAAGTGACACCTGCAGAGTGACAGCGATTCACCATTTAGGACCTCTCTCTACCTTCATTCCCTGGCAGGAGTAACTGCTGAATTCACATAATTTGAATGTCCATTTGTCGATCTCTCTGCCCACCAGACTCCACGAGATAATCAGTAAGTTGAGGGCAA